ATTTCCCTAATTAAAAAGTTAGCTCTTGTGAAGTAGAGTCAAAGTCTACTTCATAGTCTGAAGTCTATAAAAGGAATTATTTTACGGTAAGTGCTGTCATGGATATTGTGCAGGAGGAAATATAAAGACTTAAAGAGGTTAATGTTGCAGTTAGATTGTACAAGAGGCTAGTCAAAGAAGGAGTAATTGTGTCACCTCAATGCAAATACGATGACTATAAAGATATGATGATATGTAGATGGCACTTTAGTTCTCCTCATGCTACCAGTGAATGTTTAGCCTTCAAAGGGTTTCAAAATAAAAAAATCAACACGAATACAGTGACTGTTTCAAAGCAGGAACATCAGGTGATGAAACTTGCTGAATTCAATCCTAAGTCTGTTATGAATGGTCAAAAGGTTAATAAGTCACCTAGCAAGATTAGAAATCACAAACCAAAGGCATAGTCTTAAAAAGAGGCAATTCAATCATTTCCCTTACAAATTAAAGTAGTAGAGGGACTTAAGAATTTGCGTTATAAACTTTGTAATTCTTGTGCTGATTTGTTGCATTTTGAACTGGTTTGGACTGAGACCATTCCAAATGATCCCAATTGTACCTAGATATCAAAGAGCTCACCATAAGAAGAGGATAGAGATTAATAATCAGACTCGTTCTATGAAAATCAGGCTGAGTTTCCATAAGTTGAATGAAAGAAAGGAAAACTTTTTACCTACGACCAAATGGGACAACTATGTGAGCATGGAAAGGAGAACGGAAGGAGTTTTGAAAGACAGGGTGACAAAGAATGATAATAAGAAGCTCAAGGAGAAAAGGAAATCCATAGAAAAGGCGAAATCAGTAAGAAGAAGTCTAATCAGCCAGATTCAAGAGATGACAGTTCCACTAAATGAAGATGCTTTGAAGAAAGGTTTCCTCAGAACCATTCCATAAAAAATTGTCTAACCTGGAGTTGACATAGTGATTGGACAATCAATGGATGGTAAAAATTCTATCGAACCGCCTAGCAATGATATATAGAATCATCCCATAGTGAAGAAACTAATGGAAATCATTTTAAAAAGGACCCAATTCTAGAATATCATAAGGAAAAAAGTTTAGGTGAGGATCTGATGGCCACGAATCAACCAGTATCTGAGTTAGTAAACTATGACCTTGAAGGTCTTGATCTGGAGGTTTCAAGGTCAGATTTAGAATTTCTATCAAAGTATTTAGAGGAGGATTGCGATGCAGATTGCAATACCGTGACCTTACCAAGGGAATTTAGAGCTCAGATGGTGAAGCCTAGTACGAATTCATTGGCAGATGAAGTGGATTAGGTAGAAGCTGCAGGTAAGTATAAACTATATACAATATCTACTAAATTGAATAAAGCATCATCTAGATAACCTAATAGAGAAATAGTAACACATGATCAGGAAAAGTTAGTCATTTGACATTTGTTAAGAAATTACAATGTTAATAATGCAAATAACAAACCTTTTTTTGTGACTGTAAATTTTGAAGGGTTTGAGCTAGGGAAATTATTAGTCGATATAAGAGCCACAATAAATCTGATGCCTTTGTCTGTTTTTCATAAGATTGGCAAAAAGAAAAAAGATTTTGCTAGTGTTAAGATTATTAATATAGCTAGTTTAAATGGTAAGTCTGAACATACTGAAGAGTTGGCATGTATTGAGATCCAAGTAGGTACTACCAAAACTGTTTTAGCATTCTTTATAGTAATAGGAGAAGCATCTTGTAATGCTATCCTATGTAGAGAATGGTTGCATCAAATGTATACTATTCCCACTTCTTTACATCAGAAAATAATATTATGGAATGGTGATGAATATGAAGTAGTTTGTGCTAATGTAGAAGCTTTTATGATTGATACTAACCAAGATATTCCCAGGGTTCTTTTGAAGTCAACACCAAAGAAATATGAGATTGTACAGTCAGTTCCTAAACTTAAGGTGGTGTCAAATGCAATCGGCATGATCGAAGAGGCTGATGCAGATGAAGATAAACACAATTCACCTACAAAGTCTAGCTCTAAGTTTGGAGTACTTAAGATAGGATATGTTTAATATCTTTTCTTTGTACATTTGTAGTTTAAACAAATATAATGGATAATTACATAAAAACCAAAATCTTATATGGTACTTTATTAGCTCTTCAAAATTTATAGGCAAGTTATTAATCATAACATAATATAGAGGTTAACACAAACAAGGAGGCTCCTGAATGTTTATCTAATTACTCAAACTCTAATGACCATACTTAATCATCGCCAAACTCAGATAAAGAGTTTTACGGTGGAGAAGAGAATGAAAAGGTATGGGCTAAGAGTGAGGATATCAAACAGGTAATCCATGGTCCTCTAGAGGAAGTAAATCTCAGAACTAATGATTGTCCTTGATTCACTTGTATAAGTAAGGAATTATTTTGTAAGGACAAGTCATTAATGATTGACATACTTCACAAATATAAGGATTGTCTCGCATTGGAGCATCACAAAATGCCCGGTATAGATCCTTATATCATCTAGCTTAGGCTTCCTATTAAACCTGGTTACAATCCTATAGTCCAAAATCCAAGTCGTTTATTGCCAGAACTAATCCCCAAAATAAAGGAAGAAATTTCCAAACTCTTAGAGGTAGGATTCGTACAACCCACCAAATATGTAGAGTGGGTAGCTATCATTGTTCTTGTAATCAAGAAGAATGGCAAAATCAGGATATGTATAGACTATAGAGATATCAACAATAAATCCCCAAAGGATTAATACCCCATGCCTATAGCAGATATGTTGATAGATGCCTCATCAAGACATGGGTTTGTATCAACGCTAGATGGCTTTGCTGGGTACTACCAAACAGAAGAACTCTTTGAGCCTAAAATCAGCTGATTGTAGATATAAGACTTAGGGGGTCTAGTTGTATGAGGAGATATGAGACTCAGGTCAGCAAATCCAACCAAGTAATAACCCAACAAAAGTCAGACACTTGGAAGAGTTGGCACAAATCCCTCATACCACCTCTTGGGGGGCTAGTTGTATGGAATAACTTCGGTAGAGCTCTTCCCATGCTCCTAACCTTAGAGCAGAATAACTTCTCCAGTTAGCAAGAGTTGGCCTGAGTGCCTCAGACCACCTCTTGTGGGGCTAGTTGTATAGGGTAGCTCCCGCTGAGCTGACCCATGCTCCCAACACCACTTGAGAGGCGCGCACTCATGCCAGAGTAGTTATTAAATCAACCTTTTATCAAAGGAAGGTTGTGTAAATAGAGTATGCATCTATCACAATTCGAGTTGACTTATGTGCCTCGGAAGGCTGTGTAAGGACAAGCGTTGGTTGACTTTTTTGGCCGACCATCCACCTTTAGAGGATGTTCTTTGATGGATCTAGCAGGTGAGTATCAGCTGGAGCCGGGATTGTGATTTATTCACCTTCTGGTGTAGTGACTAAAATGGCGAACACTTTTTTAGCTCAATGCACAAATAATAGAGCAAAGTTTGAAGCCTTTGTGATTGGTTTGAGGACTCTGAAAGATATGGGATTAACAAAGGTTAAGGTGTTAGGCGATTCGCAATGGGTGATAGCCCATGTAAACAAAGAATACAAAGGAATATCACCTCTAGCGATGACCTTTTCATCTATTGTTCAAGAGCTTATTAATGCTTTCGAATTCATTCAAGTCTCTCATATCCCAAGAGAAGAAAATAGAGAGGCTGACTTTTTGCAACAACAAGCATCGCTACCCGACTCTAAAGTTTTCAATGCATCAGAGATTCACATAAACACTACAAATTGAAACCTTTAGATGAAAAAGTGAAGGCAGAAGTACATCAGTACAATATCCTTGCTCAGGATATAGACAGGAGAGAGGAGATTAAGGAATACTTGAAAGACCCTTAAAAAGGGAAAGTGCCCGCAAAAGTTAGGTTTGTAGCTACTAAATACTTTCTTATGGGAAGTAAGTTATACAGTAAGGATCCTTAAGCTATTTTACTAAAATGCGTTAGCACAAAGAAAGTGTTAACCATTTTAGCAGAGATTCATCATGGAATTTGTGGGTCACACCAAGCAAGAACTAAGATGAGGTGGTTAATCCATCATATGGGTTTTTTATTGGACTTCAGTTAGACAAGATTGTTTGAAGTATGTTGTAGACAACTTATTATGTCTCCCCAAAAACCAAACCCAGTGATGAGTACCTATCACGTTCTAGTTAACGAGTTCGATAAAGATTTGAATAGTCACGTGAAATTTCCTTAAGCCTTGAACATACCCCTAACCTTTCCTAAAATGTTTTAATCTAAAAGCAATCATTTCGTGTCTTTAAACCCAAAATCATTCATGTCGTGTCCTTAAAAATCATTCATTTCGTGTCCTATCCATAAAAAGTCCAAATCAGATTACTTTGGTCCATAATCCCAGTCTAATAATTGTTTAGTTGGATAGGATTTGAAAAGAGCTTTCCAACGATATCTTATATGCCCAAATCCAACTTAAAACGAATAAGTTATGGAAAAAAATACTTAACCGAGCCCAAATCGAGCCTAGGTCCACCTTCCCTATGACCCAATGATCATATGAGGGTTCAAATACCTTATTCCTAACCTATCCTTTCCGAAAAGATAAAGATCAAAGAGTTTGAGATCAAATAAAACTTCTCGTAAAATAATCCTTGTTCTAATCGAATACGATGACGTTAGGATATATTTCACGGCCACAATTCCTTTAGAAATCAAACCCCGAAACAACTTAAATATCCTTTAAAACCAGCACATAACGCCATGACCGACGCACTACGACGGTCCCAACCCAGTGCGTCAACACCAGCATGGCGCGTCAATACCCAGCGCGCCGCGTCAAAAAGAGTTCTATTCACTAGTAGAAGAACTTAAATGAGCACCGCAAAATGCGCATCGGTTTTTAAAAAACGGTGAAAAAAAATAGGCGGTACCGAGGGAAAGAGTTTTCGCACCGGTTTGAACCAAACTGGTGGGAAAAATGAGTTTTTCGCACTAGTTCGATTCGAACCGATGCGAATGCTATGAAAAAAAAATTGAAATATCTTCTTTCTTTCTATTTCCTTAAAATCTCATCCTTTCTCACCTACCTTAACTTCTCTCTCTTCCTTAATTCTTCTTCATCTTCTATGAGGGCTGCGATTTTGAGCAGCCGCGACTTTCCCAGTCACCGTCATCCTCACCGAAGCCGCTTCAACGTTCTCATGACACATTGTCACCCTCACGTTTCACCTGCTTTCCATGGCTCCACCACTATCGTCACTCGTCGCCGTCGTATTCTTCTCCGCTCCTCCAAATATTTCCTTTATCAATGTCTTCTGCATAGATTTGGTCTAAGTAATCTCTCTTTCTTTATTTTAAAGATTCACTTTGAATTGAACAAGTTTGAAATTCTAGGGTCAATTTGATGAAGACAATTGTGTTATTTATAGTTATTTCATTTTAATGTTGATTATTGTTCATAACAATCGTGCTATCTAAGTACGGAGTTGGCAATTTATAGCATTTTCCTCCGTTCTTTCTCAAATACCAACTTTGCTTTTCAGTCTAAATGGCAAAATTACTCCCTCGAAGAAGCTATTTCGTTTGTTAGGCGAAATGGGACTGTCATTGTTTGTATAGTTAGTGAACCTTACTTTGATTTTTTGAACAATTTGTTGATTAGTGTACATCAAGATAAAATTTTGGTGATTGCTAAAGATTATAACACTTCGTATCGGGTTAATCAAAGGTGGTCTGGTCATGCTGTGCTAATTCCTCTAGTTCTTAAATTTAATTCTACCCATAAATTTTGGTTCCTTGGTATGATTTTTCTTGCCATATTTTTTTCAGTTTAATTTATCATATTGCTGATTGATTACTATTTCTATTGGGTTTTTTTTTTTTTTGTTTTTTAGGGTTTTGATTTGATTTAGGTGTTTGATCTTGTGTGAACTTGTTATTTATAAGGGCTAGTGTGTTAGTAAATAGTTTGTGAAATAGTGATGTTACTTGTTGATATATTTAGTTTGTGGAGTTGTTCATGCACAAGGAAGCTGCTTATATTGAGAATGGAAGAAATACAAATGATATAGGGATGAAAGCTAAGAAATGTTGAGTGGTCATATACTGTTTTAGGTTGTTTTAACCTATCTTCGTGCACATAATTTTTCTTAAGAAATGCAAATGAGCATTTTTACTATCGCTTTATGATCAATGTGCTGAGTGGGGAGTTGATTTTGGTAATGTAATGGCTGCCTTTTAAACTTCTAGTACAAAGTTTAACCATGCTCTACCTATTAATACCTCTGTCTCGATCAATTGCAGATTTGATGTTTTCTCCCTTTATCTATTTGTCACAAGTCTTGATTATGTCTTCCATAAAGTACATAATTATATTAATCTCAAGGTCATATACTGTTTTAGGCTATTTTTACTTGTCTCAATGCACATAATTTTTCATAAATATTGTTTCTATCTTGATCACAGTGAAGAATGATTGTAATTTTGGGGAGGATTTGGCCATTAAAGAAATTTAAAGAAATTTGCATTTTATTTGGACTTTGGTACTTGTATTAGACACATATACGTGTCCAAGTGTTAAGCTAGACTATTTTGCGTGATTGTTTGTCTTCTTTTTGAAATGGTATTATGAACAGATTGCTTTGGACAGATTTCTGCCTCATATTTAACAACATTTTAATGCTGGTAAACTACTTGCAGTCCTGCGGGAGAGTACAATCTCCAGTTAGGAATAATACAAAGAATTGCTTCCCAACATGGTTGCTACTTACTCTGTCATCTTTGTATCTACTTTGGAGATCTACGAATTTTTTCTCTTCTTACATCCTGTTGCAATAATGTGTGTATCAGGATAGATTATATTATTATTGTTACATTAATATTGAAACTACAATCAATTATTATTTTGCTACATAAATATTGAAACTACACTCAATTATTTGTTTGCTACAATATTTCATATGAACTTTTGGTATGAAATTATATTATTGTTGTCATGTTGTAAGTCTTTTTATGCAGCGCTCAAGCATTCAAAGACCACCCTTTTCTTTTGAGATGAAGGCTAATATGGAGGGTTACTATGAGGATGAGATCAAGATGCATCTGGCTGCTGTTCCCTCTTCTCGGCATATTGAGCCAATTGAGGTATGCTAAGCGAGCTACTTCTTTGCTCAACCCTTAGATTTTATTTTTTATTTTTTATTTTTTTTTATTTTATTATTATTGTTTTAAATGCATTGTTCTTGTCTTCTTGAGATTCAAGGTGAAGATTAATATGGTTTATATAATATGAATTCATTAACAAGTGATAGAGAAGTCTTGCCACAAATGGTTTAGAAAACATTTTAGTGATAGAGACCTAAAATCTATGTTGAAGGATGTTATAACTGTGATCCGTGCTGACGAAGCTCACTATCGTGATGTCAACCATTTTGCTTCTGTGAGTATCGAAATTATTACTTGTTTTACTGATCCATGGGCCTGCTAATGAACTGTCTTCCTGTCTTTCATCAGATAATTTTGCATTTAGACATCTGCCTTTTGTCACCTGATCAGCTATGGCAGTATTCAGTTATCAACTTACCATATAACTCTTTAATTGGTGTTAAACTGATGAAGTATATGTTTTCGCCATGCAGGATGTGCACTTTCAGGGCAGGCAACTAAAAGAAGCACCAGCTCCCGTTGGTTATCATTAGAGCAATACATAAGTCTGCATACTGCCACGTATATGGTGCTTGTTTTGTTTCATAATCTATTGGCATGAATTTATAAAACTTCTACTGTTTGTGTGATTATTTCCTTCATTCCTTTTCTAGTCTTTATGGAGCTTAAACATTGGTCCAACTTAATAAGTATACAACTTAATAAGTATACAACAGGTGATTATGTAACCTTGTATGTTATTTTATTTTATATTCTTTTTTAGACGAAAATTGTAATATTACAGCTTTTTTAATGAAAATATGTAACTTTATATATATGTTAGTGTTTATTTATCACTTTAAGTGAAAAAAATGCAAAAAAAAAAAAAAACAAAAAAAAAATTAATTTTTTTGGGGCATTTTTGGCACCGGTTTTGAAACAAAACCGGTGCTAAAAGTTTTTTTCTTAATTTTTTGGGCCATTTTTCGCACCGGTTCACATCAAGAACTGGTGTTAAAAGTTTTTTTTTTTAAAATTTTTTTGCCCATTTTTCGCACCGGTTCACAGCAAGAACCGGTGCGGAATCTATGTTTTCGCACCGGTTTTGAATCGGTGAAAAAAACTGGTGCGAAATCTTTTGGTTTTTGGCATCCCTCAAATAAGGATTGGTTCAGAACCGGTGCGAAATGGGGGTTTTGAACCAGTGCCCATTTGTATTTTTGCACAGTGATTCTTATTTGAATTATGATCTTTTCTGATCATTTTGACTCTCTTTTTTCCTTATAAATAGAGGTCGTTTTTCACGTTTTTAAAATCAGCTAGAACCATTAATCATACTCTACAATTGGTTATAGCCACCTAGCTCCAATCATCATCAAACACCTATGTTCTTAGCCTTAGCCTAAACACATCCATGATATTCTCCCAAATCAGTCACAATACCGCATTCACAAGATTCGAGTACTCAAAGCCATCCTTGACGTTGCGTTCAACCTCGACGTGAAAGGTTGATAGTTATGAGGATTTGGTTCCAAATCTATACTTCAATTCATATTTAATTTATTTTCTTTATAGATTTAACTTTCTTGAAGTATACTAACGTGCGTATTTTTTTAATACCTAGAAGGTTGGGGCATCGAAGTAAGTTATTCAATCATCCTTATTATTCTTTTATTTTGGATTAGAAATCATGTTTACAATGCTATTTTAATTCCTAGTATCATGCTTAGGATGTTTTATGATTTCTAGTATCATGTTTAGGATAACGCTTTGATTTTGTTATTAGTAACATGCTAGGAGTTGTTATTGCCTAGGATCTTACTATTAAAGATGTTTTGATGATGATTCTTGTGTTAGTCATATGTTGCTTGATTATTTATGATTTATTGTTAATGCTTGATCATGCCCCTTTTTGTAGGTTTAAAGGGAATTTGTACTTGAAATCACTCCTAATAAGAAAATTAATAATTTAATTTAGGCTAATATAACTTTAATTCAAGTGATCACCAATATTAGATTTAATTATACATTAATAATCAACCAACATAGATTAAACAAGTTTAGGATTAACTTGATGTATTTATGTTAATCAAAAAGTGCACATGAATATCGTAAGAATTGAGTAGAGTCCTATTTAGGGCGAGTTCAATCCCTTTTAGGTTGGATTATTACCATCATCCCCGAACATCCAGTCATGGTTGCGGACCACTATGGAGTTAGCAATCTCTTTGATCGTGAATGGGGTATATTTAATAGACTCATGAACGGTTTACAAGTTCGTAAAACTTGTTGGCGACTCTTTTTCTCTAGCTTCTTTTCCTTGGAATGCAGCCATGCCTAAAAGCATGAACCATAGTAGGCTTCAAAGACAAGTTGAAAAATTCCCTATAGTTTTTCGCGACTCCGCTGGGGAGGATTTCTAGATTGATTCCTAAAATTATTTTAGCAATTGATTTAGAATGAGTGGATGAGTCTTAAAAGATTCTAGATATTTGATGAGTGTCATTTATGGCACTCAAATGATGATATTTTAGGATGTTTTTGGTTTCTTTTTATAGATTTCTCTCCCTCTTTATGCTTAGTTTTGATTTTTGTTCCATAGTTTGTCTTTTCATTGCTTATTTCGTATTTTTCTCCTATTTTTGTAGATTTTCTAGTGTTTTCTCCTTTATTTGCTCTACTTTCTTGATTTGTAGGTGTAAGATGAAGCCCGAGACCCATCATGATAATTTTTCAGGTTGTAAGAGGATCATAGTGCAAGGTGGAAGCTCATACATAGCTCACAAGGCAAAGAACTCAGGGTGGCATCACTGTTGCACGGGCGCGCCACCCTGAGTTCGGTTTCCGTACCCTTATTATTGTGGGCGCGCAAGTTCGGGAGAGGGCGCGCCCGATTGGGTCTTTTTCAGGATATTTGCTTTATTTTCTTTGTAGTTAATTATACTATAAATAACTTTTCTCCTTTTTCTTCATTAAGCAATTTTTAGGAGTTAGTTTTTTAGTTCTTAGATTTTAGAGAGAGAAAGTAGAGAGAGAAACACTTGGATTCTTGATTTGTACTTCAAATTTGCTCTAATCAAGCTTGGATTTACTTCATTCAATGATAATTAATGAGATTTTCTTCCCTTAATTCTTCTCTATTAGTTTAATTTTTGCATTGATTCATGATTGATTGTTTGATTTGTTGATTTTTGGTTAGTTGCTTGAGTACTTGAATTTCTTCTTAATTAGTTAAATATGATGATGATTATGATGATCAACTTAGCCTTGTTCCTTCAATTCACAATGATTAGTGAGTGGAATCTTTGCTAGGGTAATAGTGAAGCATGCATGAATGATGTATTATTGCTAATTGAAGGATTTTGATTGATTGATTGTTGTAGATAAATTTATTAGTAGATTTGTGCATGTGTTTGGCTTGATAGGAGTGATCAACCTTGATTTCCAAGTAAGATTGCATCGTAATTCCTAATGACATGACCACTTGATTTGGGGATTGCATTTATTGATTGATTTTGAATTGTGATTCTCTTTGTTAGTCATTCATAGAGGAAACATAGCTTGACTTCTAGGATATAACCTTTTGGACTCTTTCAATTGTAATTACTACTAGTCCTTACACTATTTCAATTTATTTGATTTCCTTTGATTGGCATTTCCTTCTTGATTGCATGTGGATCCTAATCCCTAGTGCTTTTGACATAGAATTTCTTCATTGTTTTAGTTGCTTGAGACTATAGTTACACTTTCAACACTTTCCCATTCTTCGAAGTAGCTTGACCCTAGGCTGTAGTAACTTTTCTCCCATTCCTCGTGGTTCGACCCTTGACTTACCCCTATACTTTGTTTAGGATTGGTCGAGTGTTTACAAATTTTTTTATAAGGTTTTAAGTGAAAGGAATGATGTCCTTCCAACAAGTGTATTCTTCTGATAGAAGGTTCAGAATTATTACGGAGCTAATTCTTTAGTAAGGTTAAGTGATCGGAATGCCTAGGTGGAGGCCGCTTCCGATCAGTAATATCAATGTGCAATTGATGCTACAACTTAATCTTAACTGAACCCTTCAGGTCGAACCCAATCGAATCACCGATCCGAGACGACGAATTAATCCGAAAGGATTTAATGAGTCAGCAGAGTTTTACGAATACAGACGTCGGAAATCGAGCCTAGGGCGTCGAGACCGAACGTCGCAAAATCACAAGCAACAAGTATGAGCGTAGTCGTAGCTAGGCTAGGCTAGCTCATCGCAAGCCTAGGCGCACCATGGTGTGCTAGGCACTATCGCAGCCTAGGCGCGGCCTGGCAGCCTATCGCAAGCAATAGGCGCACCTAGCAAACCATCGCAGGCACCAGGTGCATCATCGCAGGCACAGGGTGCTGCGTGCGTGCGTGCGTGCCTGGCATGGAAGCACCATCGCTCGCACCAAGTGCTAGCATGGGTGCCTGCCTAGCATTGGCACAACATGTGTGCTGGCTTGTGTGCTAGCCTTCGCATGGCAGCACCAAGCATCGCACCATGCATATGCGAAGGCCTGGGTGCCAGCATAGTGCTAGGCCACGCACAGCAGCCCAGCATCACCACGCACCAAGGCTGCTGTGTGATGTGTGGGCGTGCGTGTGCGAGAGATGCTGCGAAGGTGTGTGCGTGGTGTGAGAGGCAAAAGGGGCCATCATGCGTGGCTCACTAGCAGCACGCATGCTGGATGTGCGAGCATGAGCGAAGGGTGAAGCGTGGATGCGTGTGGTGCGTGGGATGTCAGGGGAAGCACCAGCGTCAGCACGCACCAGCGCCAAGCATCGCCCAGCACCAAGCAGCGCTGCCCGGCTGGGATGCGAAGGCTGCTGGTGGGCTGGTGCTAGCTAGGCTAGGCTGGCTGGCACATGCTAGCTGGCGTGCTAGCTGGCAGCAGCCCAACACCCCTTTTAAGTGAGGCGGTTTTGTGAGGGTGGGGACCAAGGCTTTGGGAAAGCCTTGGGGAGCAAGGCAATGGTCCCCCCCACCCCTCCATGGTCCTCACCTAACCTTCTCTCTCCCTTTCACACTTGTTGCATTGTGATTGGATTTATTTATTAATTTATTTTAGAAATAAATTAATTAGCAAAATTATTCATTCTCCCACATTGGTTGGGGAATGAAGTTCAAGGGTTCATTTCCCTATAAATACCAAGCTTGGGTATTGGGAAATGAATAACCTTGAGTGGAATTAAAAAGGCAACTCTAAGAAAGAGTAAACCTTTGATTCGTAAAACTCATAGTTATTTTGTCCGGGTCTTGACTAACCTTCAAGACTTAGGACGCTCGGGTCGGGTCGAGGGTACGATCCGTCGGAGATCTTGTCTTTTCGGGATTTTGAAGTAAGAGCTCTTTGGGAGCGAAGCACGCGTCAAAGGTATAATTCTTGTTCTTAATCTTGTTTGATTAAGTTTATTATGCTTGTTAATTGCTTTAATTAACGGGCGGGTCTTGGTGGGTTTCCTTCCGCGTAGTGTCGGGTCACTACGAAACCCTACAGCGGTATCGGAGCCACGCTCCTTTTTAATTTTTGCAATTATTTTTAATTAAGGTGTTTTAAAAGAATTTAATTTTCTGGTTCATGTTCTTCTAATTAGATTAGATGCTCGTTTTAATTAATTTTAAAACTCGATTTTATTTTCGATTTGGATGTTGAACCCAGATTTTAGCTCAGAAATAGTGATTTTTGGGTGGAATCGATATTCTGGAACAGATTCAATTCTTTTAGGGATGTCCAGAAGCCAAATTCGAACCAGAAACCCAATTTTTCTAGGGTTTTTCGTTTTTCAACGAAAATTTTAAT